CTCCGGTGACGCCACGCTCATCCTGCCTCCTCAAGATCTTGAGCGCACCACTATCCAGCGCATTGAAGAGGCCACTCGCAAGATTGGTGCTGCTCTCAACGTGACTGGTCCCTTCAACATCCAGTTCATTGCCAAGGACAACGATATCAAGGTCATCGAGTGTAACGTCCGAGCTTCCCGCTCGTTCCCATTCGTTTCCAAGACCATGGGTGTTGACCTCATTGAGATGGCCACCAAGGCCATCATGGGCCAGCCATTCCAGGAGTACCCTCCCACGGATATCCCTCCTGACTGCGTCGGTGTCAAGGTGCCTCAGTTCAGTTTCTCTCGTCTCTCTGGTGCCGACCCCGTTCTTGGTGTCGAAATGGCATCGACTGGTGAAGTCGCCTGCTTCGGTGTGGACAAGAACGAGGCATACCTCAAGGCTCTCTTGTCTACTGGATTCAAGATCCCCAAGAAGAACATTCTCCTGTCCATTGGTTCATACAAGGACAAGAAGGAGATGCTGCCATCGGTGCAGAAGCTGCAGAAGATTGGCTACAAGCTGTTCGCCACCGCTGGTACTGCCGACTTTTTGCAGGAGCACGGTGTTCCCGTCCAGTACCTCGAAGTCCTCGGTAAGGAGGAGGACAAGGACTCGGAGTTCTCTCTCACGCAGCACCTGTCTAAGAACACGATTGATCTGTACATCAACCTGCCTTCCAACAACAAGTACCGCCGCCCGGCCAACTACATGAGCAAGGGCTACCAGACTCGTCGTATGGCTGTTGACTACCAGATTCCCCTGGTCACCAACGTCAAGAACGCCAAGATTCTCATCGAGGCCATTGCCCGAAGCTTCGACCTCAACGTTGCCAAGCGCGATTACCAGACCAGCCACAAGACCGTTGTCTTGCCCGGCCTGGTCAACGTTGCAGCCTTTGTTCCCGGACTCGTCACTCCTGAGAGCCACGACATGGAGACTGTCACCAAGGCCTCCATCGCTTCAGGCTTCAGCATGATCCGTGTCATGCCTCTTGGCCTAGAGGGTGCCATCACCGACGGCATCACTCTGAGAGCTGCTCAACAGAACAGCAAGCTAGGCGACTTCTGCGACTACAACCTGTCTGTCTCTGCTACTTCGGAGAATGACGGCCAGATTAGCGCCCTCGCCGGTGAAGTTGGCTCTCTCTTCATCCCCTTCAACCACTTATCTGGCAACATCAGCAAGGTGGCTGCCGTCACTGCCCACTTTGACGCTTGGCCAACCCACAAGGTCATCGTGACCGATGCCAAGCTGACTGACCTGGCCTCGATCCTCTTGCTGGCTTCGCTGCACAACCGCCGCATTCACGTTACTTCGGTTACGAACAAGGATGACATTCGGCTGATTGCGCTGAGCAAGGCCAAGGGTCTGCGTGTTTCCTGCGACGTCTCCATCTACTCTCTGTACCTGTCTACCAAGGACTACCCTGAGCTTGACCGACTCCTCCCAACTCCTGAGGATCAGGCTGCCCTTTGGGAGAACATGGCGCACATCGACGTCTTCTCCGTCGGAAGCCTGCCTTACCAGCTTGCTAAGTCTCTGGGCCACAAGGCAGACACGTCCAGCGGCATTGCAGATGCCCTTCCGCTCCTGCTGACTTCTGTCACCGAAGGCAAGCTGACGATCGACGACCTCAAGGAGAAGCTCTACCAGAACCCCATGGAGATCTTTGAGCTCCATGACCAGGTCGGTACCAGCATTGAGGTTGAGATTGACCGCGCCTACCAGGTTCTGCCTGGCAGCGTGTGGTCGCCGTTTGAGGGCCGTGTGATGCGCGGATCTGTTCGCAGGGTCACTTTCCAGGATACCACCGTCTGCCTGGATGGCGAGCTCCTGCCAGTGCCCCCCAAGGGCAAGGACATGTCATCGCACAACATCTCTCGCGAAGTCCCCATCTCCCCGCCTCTGAAGCCCGCCATGGGCCTGATTACCCAGGTCACCGAGAGCCCTAAGCCCAGACAGCAGGCACCCTTCAGCCCTAAGATTGCGGCTAGGTTCCGCAACATGGAGGGACTGGGCTCGCCCGCCAGACTGGGAAGCGCCGTGGATGAGCTGGGTCTGTCTCTATCACCTCAGCCTGCCGCCAGCTCCCCTCTCCAGCAGCTGTTGTCGCAGCCCAACTCGTTCAAGAACTCGCACGTTTTGTCTGTAAAGCAGTACACCCGTGCCGATCTGCACTTGTTGTTCACTGTTGCCCAAGAGATGCGACTGGGCGTTCAGCGTGAGGGTGTCCTGAACATCCTCCGCGGCCGCGTTCTCTGCACACTCTTCTACGAGCCCTCTACTCGTACCTCGGCTTCGTTTGATGCTGCCATGCAGAGACTTGGTGGTCGCACCATTGCGATTTCGACATCGAGCTCATCTGTTCAGAAGGGCGAGACGCTGCAGGACACTCTGCGAACGCTGGCCTGCTACGGAGATGCTGTTGTCTTGCGCCACCCCCAGGAGACGTCTGTTGACATTGCAAACAAGTACTGCCCTGTCCCAGTTGTCAATGGTGGAAACGGTAGCAAGGAGCACCCGACCCAGGCATTCCTCGACCTCTTTACCATCCGTGAAGAGCTCGGCACCGTGCAGGGCCTGACGATTACCTTCTTGGGTGATCTCCTGTATGGCCGACCAGTTCACTCGCTGGTGTACCTGCTCCAGCACTACCAGGTCAAGGTTCAGCTAGTCTCTCCCAAGGCTCTGTCTCTCCCCGCCAAGGTGAGGGAACAGCTGGTTGCTTCAGGACAGCTGCTGGTGGAGTCGGAGACTCTGACACCCGAGATTCTGGCCCGGAGTGACGTCCTTTACTGCACGCGCGTGCAGAAGGAGCGATTTGAGAGCGTGGAGGCCTACGAGAAGGTCAAGGATTCATACCGCGTGGACAATGCTACGCTGAAGAACGCCAAGAGCTCCATGGTTGTGATGCACCCTCTGCCGAGGAACGAGGAGGTGGCCGAGGAGGTGGACTTTGACCAGAGGGCGGCGTACTTTAGACAGGTAAGGACTCCCCAGCGGATAGAGGGAGTTGAATTTGCTAACATTGGTTACAGATGCGGTATGGTCTTTACTGCAGGATGGCGCTCCTGGCACTTGTTATGGCTAGCTCGTAAAGAGGCTATATTTTGTCAGACATGGCGGCGCAATTTCCCAAAGACTGTACAGAGTAGATTTTTCGATTTTATTTTTAATGGTTTCTTTTGTCGGAATGGAAAAGGAATATCTCGGTTTATCAAAGGGGGGTATGATGTAGAAGGTTATTTCTTTTTTTTCGGACGTTGCATGTTAGAGTGCGTCCTAGGTATTAAACCCGTATTTCAGCAAAGGGCAACATTTGCTTTATTTGGAAGGGTTTGGCGTTATTTGGCGTTTTTAGGGCGTTCTGTGTGGCGTTGAAGCCAACAGACGTAGTTGATACCCGTATGATAATAAAGTTGTTTGTGTACGCATACGTATTTATACGTATGCGTACATGTACGTACGTATGTACGTACGTGCGTTTCGTGCGTTTTGTGTGTATGTGTGTTTTGTATGTATTTTGTCTGCAGATCTGTTTTTTGGTAAGTCTCGTATATTTACTTTTTATTTATTTTTTTCAACTATCATCACTTATGGAAGATGGCAATCTATCAGAACGACTACGACTATACAACCTTCAAGAATACGTTTGATTCGACTTCATTGAGCCCGTTGAGTTGATCAACTGCTCAAATGGTAGTGTGTAAGACTACAGCAGCTCGAGCTTTGTCAGCAGAGGCGTTTGACCGTCCAATGCTTTTTTAGTGGAGAATCTGGAAACATCCAGTTACTACGGAATTGACACCAGATTTCACTTTGGTGCAAGTTTGGATAGTTTCCAGTGCATATGGCAACAGCCCAAATGCGTAGTAGAAAACAATCCTGCACTTTTGATAGTTGTCAGTTAGCTGGTAAGCGGCAAGCGATTTAAGAGTTTACAGACTTGGAATTCAAATTGGAAATGGTTCAATCAACTGGAGTGGATTACATTTATGGAGTGACTATTCAACCCCAGTTCCCATCTTGGCTGGGAGAACCTCACCGACTCCGTCGCTCTAATAGTGTCTTGGGCTCAGCTGAAAGCCACACGTCGCTCCCGTGATGCTATTTGAGGTTCTAGCAATCTGCATTGGCGCTTGTAAGGCGTGCAGTCACTTCTCCTTGGTCCTATTGGAGGAGATTTCTCGGGAACTACTGTCAGTTTGGGCGAGTTTTTTAGCGGGCCGCGGCTTATACCGAGTCACCCAGCACAGATGCTTTCGCACCCTTGAATGCTAATGCAGCCGTCTGGTGAGGAGATAATAGTCTAAATCTATTGGAATTGCATTTTATCGACTATATTTCCCTACATGAAGGAGCCATATGTGTTACAGCTGTCTAACTTTAATTTGTTGCTGTATCCCGGTTTACATTGCTTGCACAGATTATGCAATGTATTATCTTAACCAGATTGTTTATTTTGAATGTAGTTGGCAGAATCAGGAAAGCTTTAGAGACTGTACCCTCGACTCTCCTGAATGGTGACTCTCTCATGAAAATCCGAACAAACGTAACACTTACGTAGAACGTTTAAACTTGTATCTCAAGGTTTTCCATGAAAGCATGTTGGAGTAGCTAGTGTAGCCACACCCTATATGAATATCCATGTGGCTTTATTTATAATATCATTTTTACTGCTCTATCTGGCTGTAATTGTATATTTTCTTGCTTTGACAGGCAATATAAATCTGCGAGCTGTCATCCGGCTTAAAGAATGGCGATGTCCTACTTTGATTGGCTGGCAGTGCGAAAGTCTAATAACCTGATCTCGATCCTCATCGATGAGCTTGAAAACAGTTCAACCCGGCAAGCTGAGCATATATACGAGACGAGATCCCGGCGAACATTGCTAAATATTTCAATACATCTGCCTCCCACTACGATAACACTCTAAAGCTGAGTTTCACCCCTAAAGGATCCATCCTATATCACGATGAAGTCCCTCGTGCTCATTACAGCGACGATGATGCCTATTCTGGGCTTCGTCGGCGCCGAGATTAACGTAGCGGTTGACTCGAATTGTGCCCCGTCCGGCGCGCATCTCCAGACGGGCACTTTAAATTGTCAATGTCAACCTAATCATAGCGTCTCCTGCAACGGCTTCCAGCTCTGCGGTGTCGGCAAAACCAACGCAGCCCTGTCTCTCTCTGGCACCTACACTGCCACCGTGCAGTGCACCAACCCCGGCGGTAATGTCGTCGAGGCTCACTCGAATCCCACCACCAGCTCAAAGAGCGGTTCCGCGGCATCGACTAAAAACGGTTGCATGGTCGTCTCTCCGTTAGCAATAAGCCAGCCGAGCGACGCAGATTTTGAGGCACAGGCCACCTGCCCGAACGGGAAATGGAGCAAGTCGGTTGAATCTAACACAGTCGCCCTCAGTGGATTCACCTACACGTTTACCTTCGCCGGCTTTCCCTCTACTTGTCCCTACATTACCATAACCGGCTGTTGAGCTTGATTATAATATTCAAAAGTTATGACTTAGTGTTAGGAGGGTTGACAAATCTGAGATAAATCTAGGATACGTTGGAAGACTATTGAAAGCCGCACTCTCAACTCATTTAGAGAGCAATGCTGGTAAAAGTGAAGTGAACGCGGCGCGTTTATCTACTGTTATTTAACTCATCATGTCACTCTTTTATCCTGTAATCACGGCAAACGACGGGGGAAAATATCAAAACTGGTGATTATGCGCAATAGCTGTTATGGCTGATTGCTGCTGAACTTACTGAAATGCGCGACACAGATTAGGTAGCTAGTAACTTGAAATGAACAACCGCGATAACGCTGCCTGCAATACCTTCCTTGTGATAGACCGATACATGTACCTAGGTATATGCTAGTATAAATACGTATTCCCAAGAGACAACTCGTTGGAGGCTCTGGCTCTGGCAAGTTAGCGGATAAGTTATTGATATTGCTCATGTACCCTCGGGAGCCAAAACAGACCGATGGGAGCTGACACTGGCTTTTAGTCATTTCGTCCAAAAGTGGCAGATCTACGGAGTAAAATCAAGTTCATTATGACTAAGTGGACGCTGAACTTGAACCAGGCTGTACCTGGGCAGTACCAGTGCCTCTTGCACTAGCCACACGATCCACGTTGTAGCCTCACCCGATTTTATAAAGTTATTTAACAAAGAGGGACGCCTATTTCGCCTTTGACAGTAGCAGATAGTAGCGATAATAGCAGAAACTCCGGGAAGCGTGTAATATCTATTTAAGTAACGATGTTAAAAGATCTTCATTATACGTTATTACACCATTCGGAACTCTTCTCAGTCGCTAGGTGCTGGACAGCCAGCTTGGACTGCTGAATAGTCCTTTCCTACATTCACTGTATTCGGGCATACACGACTCTACAATTTCACATCTAAACTTTTCAATGACAGAGGTAAACAGTAGCGGCCATTGCTATCTATAATATTATAATATGTAGGCTTCTTTGTTGTGCTCTATTAGGAGCTTTGCAGAGGCAGATAGAACTGTCGATGTTTTGAATCCTGGCCAGCCTCCAAAAGTTATAACTCAGCCTTCCATAACGTCAAGTGGCCCTGAAACAGTATTTAGAGTTTTTTTCGCTGCTGATTCGCAAGCATGTAATCAGGCAGACATTAGTTAAAATGAATAGTCAGGTTTCATTTCCTTGCCAACAACTCATGCCTTTCGTAGGATGACTAGCACTGCCTTATCGCCGTGGCCTTTGACATAATCAATGACCTCTTGTGCAACAACCTTAATCAATTTCTTGGATGCCAATTTCTCAACCTCGGCATGGAATTTGGCCGTCTCCCAGAACTCTTGTAGGACAGTAGCAATAACGATCCCGTCCTTTTTAGTCAGACGAACGAATTCTCTGAGAGCAGGATCAGGGCCGACGTGGCCGTTGGTAAAAGTGCCGACGCAGGTGACAAGATCATAGACGCCGTCGGGCTTTTGCACGCGTTGTGTCAAGTCTGCCTGGGACAAATTCCTGTAGACGCCCGTCTGTTGTGCGATTTTAAGCATGGCGGGTGACAGATCAAGTCCATCAATGGACTTTGCGCCGACGTGTGCGAGAGCTTGGCCGACTAGTCCAGTGCCGCAGCCGGCGTCCAAGATGGAATATCGGGCTAAATTGTTTGATTGAAGAGCTACTTGGGCCACGATCTCGGGGGCGACGTATTCTTGGGCTTTGTCTCCCACTTCGTCGTTGTAAGTGGCAGCCCATTTGTCGTAGATGCTCATACAGTCCTGTACGCTGCCGCAAGCACGGGCTTGGGCAAGATACATGTTGGGTGTTTGGACTTCGGTCATCATTGTGAGGGTGATTTTGGGGTTTGCTTTCGAAAATGTAAAAGAATTTTTAAGGATATGAAAAGATGAGCCTTTGGGCAGGGTAAAAGTACAGCTGTCTTATGGGTTTCTGATATCTTGTCTATTTCTCCTTTCTTATCCAAGGGATACTGGGGTTCTTATAGAGCTCGGCTGTCTAGACGACAAGCATGCATCTACGCACAAGTACGAAGGCATACTACACCCATCGTCAATTGTTGAGTCGATAATTTAGACCATCACAATGTGCTCGACTGATTGGGCGAAGATGAGCGGGAAGGAGGAGGGGCGGGAAGGCTGGTCTTACGAACAATCCCCATGGCTGGCGCAGATACAGATACTTGCGTAGAGTTAGAGATCTTGTATTTTTCTGGTAAGTTGGACACCCCTTTTAAATAATTTGTCCGGTTGAATGTGCTATTTGTCCGTTATGGGGCAACCTGGCCTACATGAACCGCTTGTTCAGGTACATGCCTAATGTAGTATGTATTGTGTCATTGTGTCTTCTAAGACGTTTCTATGCTCCGCGGTAATATTCCTTTCGACCGGAGCTGTTACTCCTTTGATGATGCATCTTAACTGCCTATTGTCTATATCTGCAGTTTGCCTTGGGTTACATCCTGCTTTCCTGGTGGAGCCTCAGTCCGTAGGAGATGGACAGACAGGGGCCCGGAAACGGCAATCCGCACATATTGGGATAAAATGTGACGGAAATTGTTCCGCAAGTAAATACTCGTATGTGTGTATGATTCACTCTACCATCTCTACGAAACAATTCCGCCGTGTGTATAATTCACGCCCTTGTGTCTTTTATTTCCGGATCTTGTTCTTTTACGTGATATCCCCGCTCACCCATCCATCTTCCCCGTATAACACGGCTCGCTGTAGATGCTGGTTGCATTCCATTTCGTCATACTACATTCAATCCACGGCAAACTCCTGAATCCTTCACGCCGATCTTCCATTTAAACCCATATCATAGCCATCTTTCCCGTCCCTGTCACATGCCACGCAATCTGGCGCTACAGTATATACCTCGATTGAGTTTGAAGCTTAGATTCCTCAAGTGCGCAGTGGAGACTGCAACCTCATCTATGCAGCTGTAAATGAATTGCTACATAGTAGATTCCTTACCGTTACATTGCTTGGCTATTTGTTGTTGTTGGCTGCTATTCCATTGCGTCATGTTCAGCTCGACATAACGTGAATTTCTGACGCCTTGGCGCCGATCTTTCTCAACTTGCCGTGCATCCACAATGCTTTGTTTTCCACGGCGCACTCAATCCGGCGCCATCTTGTCTCATCTTCAACTTTAAGACATGATTTAGAAGTCCAATTGCAACAAAGCCCTGGGGAAACAGTTATTGCTGTCGAGATGGCTCATCATGAAACCTCGCATCAGCCCGAATTGCTGATGGATAGGGCATTGAGCGAGGATAAAGACATGTCACAAACAACAGGTAAGTTAAGGGACTTTGTGAAGCAGATGTGTGTGTATCTTGGCTAATCAAGTTAGAAACAAAAGAGGGCTCGTCTGCCAATGAGACTCAACCGCCTACGGTAGAGAATGCAGTGACAGGCTCTACAGCAGTCCCCCATACCTATCCCGAAGGCGGACGCGATGCCTGGCTCGTAGTCTTCGGGGCGTGGTGCGGCTTGACTGCTTCATTAGGCATCTACAACACATCTGGGGTTTTCGAAGTTGTCATCTCTCAGATCATCCTTCCCGAGGATTCTGCATCCACCCTCGGTTGGCTCTTCTCCACTTACGCTTTCGTCAACTGGATCTTGGGAGTGCAAATAGGACCTACTTTTGACGCCATGGGCCCCCGGGCCCTGATCGCGGCCGGTACTGTCTGCACTCTAGTTGGCATCTTTACACTTAGTGTATGCACGGGTAAGTTCCGCGAATCTGCAACCATAACTGCTAGTGAGCGTTGAGCTGACGATCGTTGCCATGTTGCAATGCAGAGTACTATCAGATTCTCCTCTCCTTCTCCATCCTGACTGGCATCGGATCGTCCCTTCTCCTGACTCCATCCATGGGTTGCGTGGCCCACTGGTTCATGGAACGTCGCGGCCTCGCCAGCGGCATAGCCTTCATTGGCGGCGGCTTTGGTGGAGTGCTCTTCCCCCTTATGATGCAATCTCTGCTGCCTCAGGTCGGATGGGCTTGGTCGATTCGAATCTTGGGCTTCGTTCTGATGGCCCTCTGTGTCGTCAGCATTACCTTTTGCCGGAGCCGAATTCCTCCGCGCAAAGGCAAGGCAACTACTTGGCGTGATACTCTTCCCGACTATCGCATCTTCCTTGATGGGACGGGAGCTATGGGAGCCACCACTGCCGGGGTGCTGTTAACGGACCTGGCGTATTTCATTCCCATTACTTACACGCCGAGCTACTACATTGATCGCCAAGGGCTGTCTTCGGAGGAATCCCTGAATGGTTCGGCCGCATTTGCGTATCAGCTACTCGCCATTCTTAACGCCGCTTCCTGTGTCGGCCGATATGTGGCTGGCGATCTAGCCGATCGGTTTGGAAGATACAACACCATGATTGTCTCTCTTCTCCTTTGCGCAATCTCCGTCTTGTGTCTGTGGTTGCCTGACATCATGGTGCCTGGTCTAGAGAGCGACGGGCTCCTCGTCGCTTTTGTCGTATTGTTCGGATTCCAAAGCGGCTCCAACGTCAGCTTGACGCCCATCTGCCTTGGCCAGCTCTGTGACACGGAGGAATACGGGCGATATTACGCAAGCTGCTTCACAGTGGTGGCGTTTGGCGTGCTAGCAAGCTTGCCTATCGCCGGCAGCTTGCTCAGCATCACAGGTGCCATTGGGAAAGAGAAATACTGGGGAGCCGCAGTGTTTACCGGGTTGAGCTATGTGGCTGCCCTCCTTTGCTTCGTGTGGGTGAGGATCAAGCTCAAGGGCTGGTCATGGCGGATTAAGTGGTAATCGGTATTGAGTTTCCAAATACCCACGAATATAAATTATGTCCAAGTATAGTAGAGCACTTACTATACAGCAACTTAAGAACTACTATATAAAGGGAGTAACTATTTAGCACTCCAAGTTCGCTATTCGGCATGCCGTTCTCATATATAATGCGGCCTGGGTAGCAATAATGGCAAACAGTAGAGGAATATATGGATAGTAGCAGAAAGTAGCGACAGTAGCAGAAAATAGTGATAGTCGCAGAAAGTAGCGGGAATAGTAGATACGCCAGGAACTGGATATTTATTTAGGTTATAGTGATGAAAAAGATCTATATTCTGTGTTGTTACCACATTCGGAACTCTTTCCAATCTCTGGGGTGCTGGATATCCCTTCCCTACATAAAGGTATAAAGTTCATATATTGTTCGCACTATAGAGGCATTTACTATATGAAGACCATGATCATGTAGGTGAATTGATGTACCGTAGGTATCCGTGTATGCGTATAGGATCTGCTTGGTGCCTAGGAATATGCACCTGGTAGGTAAGCGGCAAATACAGCCTTCATAAGGTAGCAATGAGTTAAGTAAGAGGGAGAGCCAAGCCGAGCGGGGTGGATAATCATCTTCTCTCACGCTGCCCGATATCTACTAATCTCCACCTTCACAACCTCGGCGTACACTCCAAACAGCTCCGTCAAGGCGTTACGATCCGACAACCAAATACCCAAAAGATACATTCCGCACGGTGACATCACGATTGTCTATTATTCCTTGATACCGCGGAAAGATTGAAAGGTTATCACATATTGCATACTCTATTCACTGAGCTGCACTCGGCAACATGGGCATGATTCCTCCTGTCAATCGAAACCCGGAGGCCTCTACTTCAGTGCCAATGTGGTTCCACGTATGCTCACTCAGCTCAAGCCTTTTTAATAATTGCATTGGATGTACATTCTTGCCCTAAACGCTGTGCAGAACTTGGCATGCAAGTTGACAATAGCAGAACAAGGGCGGAAGTTAGGCGAGATACTTCGCATCGAAGCATCGAAGCATCGAAATGGCCCCAGTGGCGAGATTCTTCTTAGGTAGGCTGTGGATCACTTGAGAACTGACATTTTCCATTATTCCTACAGTATAACCAGTTACAGCCTCGGGAATTCCGCAAGATCGAGCAAGTCACTCTTCCTATGACACACGATACGGGTGTATACTTATGTATACCGTAAGATCGCCAGATCCAATTTCCAAATCCATGTCTTTGGCAGGACGATGATACGATGCCATCTGTGTGGCTATGTCATCTTCCCTTCTACCGGCCAAATAGATCAAGTTAGCATGAAGCTGTTGCGAGACTCCATCTTAACAACAGATGGGCATTTGACGATGAATCCACAGATGACGCAACGTGAGCGCCCTCTACTGCGAGCTTCAGAATTGCCTCAAATTCTTCATCAACGATGAGATGTATGCCCATTATGACGTTGCCGGTGAGTATTCATCTATAAAATGTCAAGAGGTGGCCGAGTTCATCCAACAGAAAAGCAAGACAACGAGGTTCAAAGACAAAGAAGCATCGCAAGATTAATTAATTTGATACAATTATCCAAAACTTCTGTACATCAAGTCATCAAGATGGCAGTCCCTTCTCTAGACTTTAACAAATTCATCGTCGGCACCCCGGAGGAGCGTAAGCAGTTTGCGCACGACCTGCTCAGCAGCTTCGAGAGGACTGGGTTCGCCAAGTTGACCAACCATACATTTAGCACTGCTCAGCTCCAGGAGCTATTCAACTGGGTAAGCAAATGTCTCATGGGAATTTTGACCTAGCAGCGTTACCGATTTTCTAACCAAGTTTTCCAAATTTCCAGGGACAATCGTTTTTCAACCAGTCCTTGGATGCCAAGAATGAGATTCCCAATGAGCCCGGGCCCAGACCTATGCGTGGCTACACACCTTGGCGAGTAGAGGAAGTCGGCAAGCTGCATTACGATGAGAAAGTTCGTATCCTGACCGACTCAAAGGTAAGGCTCTCTTTAAATCTTCCTCTTTTGACTGGTGTACTAGTATGCTTACATATTGTTAGGAGCATTTCGATCAGGGTCCTACCGACGACTTGGAGTTCCCAAACAAATGGCCCACAGACTCCAGCATGTCCGGGTTCCGGCCATTCATGGAAGCCTTCTATCAGCAGTGCAACGATGTCTGTCTTACATTGATGCATGCTCTTGAAGTCGCCTGGGAGATCGATGATGGATCTCTCGTCGCCCGATGCATCCCCAGTGCTACTGACATGCGACTTACTCACTATCCTGAGATCACCGTTGATGAGCTGCAGTCGGGGCGCACCACCCGTATTGCACCACACACAGATTTTGGCCCCATCACCTTGCTGTTCCAAGACAGCACCGGTGGCCTTGAGATCGAAGATAGGACCATCACTAAGGGCAACCCCTTTGTTCCCCTGCCGCCGACTGATACTACCGAGATGATTCTCAACGTGGGCGACACCTTGACACGATGGACCAACGGAAGAATCACCGGCGGTATGCATCAAGTCGCCGTCCCCGAAGCCATGAAAGGGGAGAGTGGGTTGGTTATCCCTTCTCGAATGTCTATGGCATACCTCTTCAAGGCTGGGCGTGACACATCGGTTGGACCTCTGCCCAAATTCGTCTCCACTAAAGAACCTGCAATCTACCCTGACATCACCGCTCTTGAGTTTCAGCGCTGGAGAAATAGCATTGTCTACAACCTTGATAAGGAAGAGGACGATGCGAAGTATAATTCGCATGCTATCAAGCCTACGGAGGGCCTCCAGCAGATCCAGCCTGCCCATGCCTAACTTTAGGTCTCATGTATAGGGAGAAGTTGAAGAATTTCGGAATACTTTCCAGTAATTCATCGCTGTATTCGCTGTTATTGTCGAAAGGAAAGTGAGGCGTCTAGCGCTGTACTTGCCACACTCTCTTCTTAAGTAGGTTGGCAACTTCTGCTTGCTGTTCTTTTTGTATACTAAGCAAAAGGGGGGGGATGCAATTTAATATTCATGGGGTTTTCGTTCATTTCACAGAATATAATAAAATATTGTCCAAAAATACAACACCCAGGGACTCTCTTCATTTTTTCACCTCTTTACGTTACGCCACGCGTTGCATAATGTTTGGGGCACATCAGATGGAACATCCAAGATATCAGAGTTCCCTGATCATGAACCCACCGAGGCAGACATGAGTCTAGCGATAAATGCTTAATTCGTCTCTCCTGCACAGCAGTCTACAGTAGCTTGTCTTATCAATGTACCCTCTCCAGGAATATGGATGGCACCTAAGTTGCAATCTATTTTTTCTGCCCAAGCCCTCGGAACCACGGAACTGTCTGATCAGTTTCAAGCAATGCCAATGGGAAACGATCGTCACCATCGCTTGCATATGTATCAGATAGAGTTAGACCCCAATCGTCTTTAAAGTCGTCTTCTTCTCCTTCATCCAGTCCAATCAGATTGTCGAAGGCTCCGTTAGAGCTGACTCCTTTACCTTTATTATAATTCTTCCCCCTCAAAGGCTTGCCACGCGAGAGACTCAAGGCCAAATATGTCTCCCTGGGAACTGGAGCCTTGGGAGCAGGTTTTCCAGTAATGGTCGTAAAATCATGCGAATTTATGATATGAATGGAGAGAATCTTGGAGCTTCCCACGTCCCAGATAGCTGGGTTTGACTTGTCTTTGATAATTTCTTGGATGAGATTTCCTCCAGCGCCGATCCCCAGAGGAACTAGCTCATGTGGACGTAATTTAAGCTCAAGCGTAAGGGATTTATCGGCAAGAAAGAAATCTACAGGTGGATTGTTAGACTCTGTTGCTCTGTTTGAAGAATGAGAATCACAAACCGTCTGGTAGATCGAACTGTTGACAGTGAACGAAAATGCCAAAAGTTCGAAAAATATCTGCTTTTAATTGGCTGACATCTGTAACTTTTCTAACTAGGATTTTTGAGCCGCCTAAGGTTACTGTAGTGAACCCAGGAGAGCCTCCTCCTCGGAGACGGAGAACAAGTACTATTTTGACAGTCTGGCACGGATAAGTTGGTAAGCATGAGACCCACCTGCTCACTTGCAATAGTTACTCACCCCTTTGATGCCGTAATCATTGAGTGTCAATTCTATGAAAAATTAGCCGTTATCTAGAAAGGTTCAAGGGGCGAGAACCTACCGTCTTTCAATAATATACCCTCCTCAAAGGATACCAATGTCTGTTGCTTGGGAGGTATGCCTTCCTTTCTTTGAACTAGAAGTTTGACATTTTCAATCGTGTCCTCCGGCCAGGCATAAATACAGATAGTCTTCCCAGTAAGTGTTCTAATATAAAGTCTGATGCTACTATTAAAGGCTAGCACCGGCATTGAGTAACATTCGGGAATATTTTCTTGATCAAAAATCCTATTTTCATTAGGCAGGTCTGAGCAGTTGAGAGACGTAACTCGAAACACATGCGTTGATGCTTTGGTTACTCTTTCAAGCATTTTGCGCAAGGTTTCAACAGTGGCATCCTCAGGAACCTCAAGCAACAATGGGTTCACGGTGTTATTGGATTCTGCCCTGGCATTATGTGGGAATATAATGCGGCACACCCGTTTTGGGACGATCGGCAGCTAGTACGGTCAGTGGAGGTGTTGTCTTATCGTCGTCCACCAATGTATCTGGACTCACTCACAAGAATGAGATCCACATTTGGACCTATACGCAATTGTTCAATATCTGTATCAGAGTGCTGGTTTTCGAAGTTGGCAAGATAACAGCCATCCGTAGACCAGTGGGCTTTCTCACTCCATATTTCTGGCTCCACCAAGAATTTGAGATGTTTCCAGCTTGTTACGGGAAGATGGAGGTCAGGGTTGTTGTGAACGCGGCCTGAGATGTGTAAAATACCGTTTCGTAGCTGAAACGCCCTTTGTGCGGCCATTTGAATGGCATCAAACTTTTCCTGGATAGTGACCTGCATATATAACTTTGTTAGTTGTTTAGCCAATAACTATCGCAGCTGTAAATATATCACTACATACTCTGAATGATATAGCATCATGGCCTGATCGAGAGCTTTGTACTAATACAATTATCTCTGGGACAGGACCTGGTAACGCTTCTAGCTCTAACACGTTTGACGAGTTGGGCATTTCCAAGCGCAGATCAAACATTTTCTTGGAGCGGTCACCCCTTCTCTCTTGGTCGAAATTTCGGATGTGAATCGTATCACCTGCATTGAGACCAAGTTCCTCTGGTGTTTTCAGAACATCATATATGGCTGCACCGCTCGGTACGGGCCTATAGGACTCCAATCTGCCGCCAAAGTGCCTAGGACAGGCATCTTTAATACTCCCAGCAAACATCTGTTTGTGGTTGAACTGTGGAATGATTTGCAGTTGAATACCTCCAATCTCATCTTTGCCCGTCATTTGCCACTCAATAGTTGCCTCCCTTTTCGTTATTTTGGGATCAGCGGCTATAGGCTTGTTGTGAAAAGATACTTTAGCAATTTGGTCTTTTGCTGATTTCGGATTCAGTGTCACTGCCACAAACTGCTTCACGATGCCCGGCTGAACTGATATACCGTCCAGCCTCCTTTGCTCAGGGATAACGATGTAGTCCTGCTTTCTAGGAGAGTTGGAATGATCGGCTATAAGGCTTCTCCCCGATATTGCATTTATGCCTCCAAGGAATGGACGCACGGCGTATTTATTACCAGCTAAGCAGTCAAAAGCGATATACATCGCCTCCCTTTCGTACATTGGAAAAAACAACCCTCCTTGCGATGCGGCTTGCGAAGGAAGCCGATCCTTATACGGCTGTGTGCTGAACAAGGGAAATGTGCCCAGTTCTTCTGGGACTTGAGACTTGGTCGCCTTTCTATCCTGAATTCGAGCAGTCCGAATCAAGGAAATTTGGAGAGCCGAGGCATCATCCTTCCCAACCATCACAGAGTGTGATAGTTTTACTCCGTCCTGGGTCAACTTTGGAGATTTGCGAATCTTTGCTTCCATAGAATCTGGGAAAATCTTGCTGAAAAAAGCTGCAATAGACTGCTGAGCATTTATTTGATAGCCAAGTGAAGAGTTATAGCACGGTTGGCCGTTCGTAACTCGGATTGGGAGAGTGAAACAATCTATCCACTCATGAGAAATAGGGTAAGTACAGCCCTTGAACTTGAAATCTTGTGGTATAATGAGACCTATTTTAGCAAGTTAGCAGTATGTGTGGCATTGTAGTACGTACAGCATGTATCAAGGAGTGGCTGACCTGGTGCTTGCTTTTCCAAAATTCTTCCTAGATCACCGAAATCCGTGTCCCCAGAGACATGCAGGATTTGCGAGCATGTATCAAAGCCTCTGTTGGTTGCAGATATCTTGTACCTAAGCCCACTGATTCTGAGGATAATCTCATCAGACTCGGCATTAGTATCTTCTAATGCTTATTAGCTGTCGTTTGAGTTATTTGTTCGTTCCTTCATTCCTCACTCTGTAAGTGTCTTGATGTCTTAGAGACTAGTGATGATGCATCTACTACACTGGGGTGAACAATGTTGCCTATCTCTGGATTTAATGGCCCTATCAATTCTACCACAGACTAAGAAAAAGCGTTAGCAAAGAAAAGAAACAATCAAGCATCAAATATTTCTCTACCAATAATTTGCTTTGATCTCCAATATCTGAATCAGCGGTGACTTTTGGGATCTTAGCTGGCTCAATTAAAATTTGTTTGGCTGTTACCTCCACCGCAGCTGGATGTCCGTCGAGTTAGTTTGCAGTTACCATTCGTGTAATCCAGGCAGAGAAACCACCGCAATGTTACATACCAGAAGGTAAACTGCCGCTCGTGTTTAATAATATTGACTTGATAGAAGCTTTTACAAGCATATATGTCTGGTCTGTCGCAGAAGGATAACGGCAGATACTGCGATGATGTTCATTGACAGGAAATACCATCTCGTTCGGGAGTCCAAGCTGAGAAGATTCTGTTGGAACTACCTAGATGAAAATAAATATCCTCCTTATTCAAGAACACAGCAGCCAGCAGGGAGGAAAGATGAAGGATAGAGTTACTTACCAGCGCCTTTAGGGAAGGTTCGATTTGAGTCTCGATAAAAGACATAATACTCAAATTGGAAGACCTAGGTAGAAAGGACTTGGAAATTTCGAGGAGAGTCAAGGAATGAGTGTTTAGCTCCTTGAGAAGATCTGTTCTCACGATCTGGTTCCCAGACACGGCTTTGATAGCATTGGTGAGAAAAGATGTCCAGTTAACAATATCCGCTCCTCGATGCGGTGTGCCCATGAACACGATGCCAATTGTCGATGTGACGATATTATGGTATTGGTGATTGAGTTCGTGGGCGAGTACCAGTGCCTCACACGGTCAGAAATAAATTCAGTCATCAAATGGGAAAGGAAGAAAAAGGTACCTTCTTGACCACAATACCACCGAGACTATGACATACAAAGATTAGTGGCCGACTCTTCTCCTGTAAGATTTATGTTAGTATGCATACTTCATACAGCAATAGTCTTCAAAATCTCTCGCCTGTGGTGATTGCCTAAGCATCCATAGTCGGTTTAGAAGATCTCTGGCAAAGTCTTCAATCCTTCCTTTTGACTGACTGAACATGAGAGTGGAATCATATCCAAAGGTCATGATGCGAGCATCGGGTATCTCCTCTGGTAGAAAGTCTTTTAACCATAACATGCGGTTGTCCTTGTCTGTCCAGGTGCCCCACGCCTTGCCATTGAGTCCGTGAACAGCAACTATGCTATGAGCTTGTCAGTGCAAAGTTTCTTTCGTAATTTGTGAGCAGGGTCGTTTTTACTCGACCGAATAATGAAGCTGTGCGTTTGGTATATCTGGCGAAGGATACAAGATAAATAGTCCATGTTGACAAACTTTGGAAGATATAACCGTTGGTGTCTTTCGAGCTTCAATTGCTGTTTCTCCCTCTTGCGTTTGAGATTTCGCAACAGCTGATGATACTTGAGTAGACTTTGTAGATTTGACCTTCGGTATTAACTTTCGAAAGATGTTCATTTTCTAATTTTGTGAGCGACAATACAAGGCTGCAAGATGGCCATCTAAAACGTATGGGGATTTATAATATTAGCTGCTGATTGAGGATAGCTCATAGCGTTGGAGACATTCGTAAATTACTAGGTGGGTAGACTCAAAACTACCTCATGATATAAGGAACTGCATGTGTACCCAACCGGTGCCTAACTGGCTGAGTATCTACCCAGGGGTCTACATGCTGGTAATCAGGCTGGGTTTACATGTACATATACGGATACCGTCTGTTGATTCAATGGTAGCGCGTAAGACTCCGGCGGTTGTATGTAAGCAATCCTCCAGCGCTTTTTAGTGGAGAGTTCAGGGAACGTCGAGTAACTTACCTAAGTAAACCAAACCCACGCCAGCACCAATCAAGCCCAATAGCTGTCAAGTACCATCTACTCCTCATCCACCGCATTCACACACGTTAATGCGGAGTAGACGCTACCACCCCTCCCCATGTCTTCCGATTTCCCAAGCCAGGATCCCCACGGCAAAAAAGCGCCTCATTCGATGCTCCCATTTTCGAGAGCGTCATGCAATCCGATGGCCCCCCACTTTTAGCACTTCCCTTTTCCCCAACTTGCCCTTTTTTTACGCATCAGGTTCAAGACTTTTGCTGCTTAAACTTCATTTTCCTTGCTGGTGATGATGATTCACTGCTGAAAACCCATAAACTTGTAATATTAAAGTCATAACCGCTGCTCTCATACGTTCTCTGCTTCTTACAAGAGGGGAATCGACTCATCGTTGTGTGGAGGTGCATTCTCGGGTTGATGAGATTACCCAACTTGCGATATTTCGCTTCGACGGCAACGACGAGGACGAGAATGGCTCTGTATCGCCGCCCTTCGACGGTCCTCACCTCTGAGGAGGAGAAGCTGATTTGTACGTCTTTATATCCCTCTCTGCCGTCTCTCGTCTCATCATAACCCTCATGTCTTCCTTGCTCATCTCATGACTCATCTTCAACACCACACACCACCACTCACACTCCATCATATCAACATCACTTCACATCAAATCATATCATATCGAAACAAATCAACCAGCTAACTCCTTCAAACAGTCGCCCCAGCAGGCCACCACCCCCACGGCCAGGCCCCCCAATTCACCCTCTCCCAGCTCCATCGCCACGACCTCAACCCATCCTCCCCCATCCCCCAATTCAACGCCTGGTTCTCCCTCGCCCAGCGCACCCCCTCCATCTCCCAGCCCGAGGCATGCACCCTCTCCACCGCCCAGCTCCCCTCCGGCCGCGTCTCCTCCCGCGTCGTCTACCTCAAGGAGCTCGACTCCCACGGCTTCGTCATGTACACCAACCTCGGCACCTCCCGCAAGGCCCACGACCTGCAGACCAACCCGCACGCCAGCCTCGTCTTCTACTGGCCCCCGCTCCAGCGCCAGGTCCGCGTTGAGGGCATCACCGAGACGTATTCCCGCGAGGAGAGCCAAAAGTACTTCGACACCCGCGTCAGGGGCAGCCGCATCGGCGCCTGGGCAAGCCGCCAGTCTGTCGTCCTCAAGCCCCAGCCCTCGGCAAAGTCAGCCCCTGAATCCGGCTCCGAGTCATTGGTAAACGGTACCGAGCCTGAGCACGAGGACGACGGCAGGGCCCAACTGGAAGGCTGGGTCAAGGAGGTCGAAGAGCGCTTCAAGGGCCAGGACAATATTCCCGTCCCCGACTTCTGGGGTGGTCTGCGCCTGGTGCCTCAGCGCGTCGAGTTCTGGCAGGGCAGGGAGAGCAGGTTGCACGACCGCTTCGTGTACGAGTGGGAGGAGGGCCAAGATGGAAAGGAAGGCAAGTGGCGTTTGGACAGGCTGAGTCCTTGAGTCTGCAATCACCAACACGTATCCCCGGCATCTACTACATGCTCTCTTTATACATGTACTATTAGAAAAATGCAGCATGTCTGGCATAGAATGCACTAATAAAAGGCTTTCGGCGAAGGGAGGGCAGAGAAAACAAGAGAGTCAAACGAGATTCAGATCACCATAGGTATGAAAAACATCATATTGGGTATATCATATATGTCCTCCCACAGGAGGCACAAAGTGATTACTATGCTCAGTATCCAAGTGCAAAGCTATGTAGCTACTAATCAGGATGTAAAGTGGTATAAAGAGATGGGTGTCCCATCTGAAAACAGTCATATCCAACTCAAAAACCTCCCAAGAGATGAATCCCATCAGTTTTTTCATGTCACAAAGGGTATGTCCATAAGGACAATACCATGCTGGTGACCGTAAAAAACAATAAACCATAAAAAAGATTCCTCAACCCAGTGAGCCGAATGTCAGGCCACTATTGCTCCACGCTTTGTGGTTCTCCAAAACGCCGTGGTAAATATGCTCATGTGCTCAACATGCTAATAAAAGAAAATAAAAAAATAAAAGGCCGGATATTAGGAAAGCGGAAAAAAGAATAAAATGCCCATCGCTGTGTCAATGACTCGTCAAGTACGCCCAGAAATATGAACAGCCTTCCCGGCTTGAGGGATTATCAGCTGAAACATCACCGTTTCCTATTTTTGCGCTGTCCCCACTTCATCACAAGCCAAAACCCACGCCAACCGTCGTCTTGGATCGGGTGTGGCTCGGCACAAACTCGCAGTCGCTGCCAGCTGCGCTATCCGGAGGCGTGGGTTGACGAGCCAGATTATTCCACCGCGGGCCCGACTCCAGCTCCGCGGCCAGCTGCATGTCAACCATTGCGTCGGTAAGGCAGTCGTCGTCGCAGAGGGGCAGGATGCGATAGTCCAGGCTCTCCATGATGCACCGCTCCGTGACGTTGAGCTGGTCGTTGGACCACAGGCCGCGGCCCCACGCCAGACGATAGAACTGCGGTGGCTGCTGCGGATCCTGGGTGAACTTGGCCGCGATGACAAGGGCGGCCAGGATGATGATTTCGGGACGAACGGAATCGATGTGAAGCTGCCGGCGGGGAGCGTCGCGCGGCGTCGATGGAAGGGAGTGTCGCTTGATGATGGATGGCGATGCCGCGGCCGAGTCGACATCGTCGGGGTGCAGCGGGCACGACAGCGGGCACGACAGCCGCCATGTGCGCGCAAACTTGGTGTCGAGGCTGTCGAGAATGCAAACCGCCAGGGCCAGCATCTCCATGGACAGGTCGGCCCTCGACAACATGGCCTGGACAAAGGACACGGATGCGCTCGCCAGCGACGCCGATGCGGGAATCAGATTGACGAGATGGATGGCGGGACCTGCAACCACAGACGGTTAGCAAACTTGATTCGCCCAGCCAAAGCGGCAATGCAGATGCAAGCCCTAGGTTGCAGTCGTATTACTCCGTATTCCGTCCTTCCGTGCCCCGTCCATGCAGCAGCCAGCCAAGACCAAGACTGTGCAGGAAGGTATAGCATAGCAGCAAAACGGAGCAGAACAGGGCATAGCTCGTAAAAGCAAAAAAAGCATTCAAAACTCACCTCGGTATCGCGGATTCAACGTGTCGTCGTCCTCGAGCGATTGGTCCACACTCGACGGCTTGCTCAGGGTCGGTGGCGGTGTGGGCAGCCTGGACAGGGGCCGGTAGGTAAAGGTGCGCTCATAGTCGGAATCATCGTCGTCATCTGCCGCAAAGCGGACGTCACGGTTACCTCGTCGCTGCATTGCTGTGGTGTTGAGCTGCGGTTGCGCTTCCGATCTGGTGTGGTTCAAGTCGGGTAGGGCCGCTTCCCATTGTTTGCTGTACGCAGAGACGCTTCTTGTCGAGGACCCCAGATATAGCGATATCTACCCGATCTTGTTTCCTTGCTCTTGCTGTTTCCCTCTTTTTCTTCTTCGTTTCTTCGTTTCTTTTTTTCTTCTCTTTCTTCTCCGTTTCTTCGTCTTCGTCTCGCGTGCCAGCGGTGTGTGTGGGATAGACGCTGAATAAGTAGTGGCAGCAACAGTAGCGGTAGCTGATCACGCGAGCAAGGGGGCAACGATGCAAACGACAATGCCAGTAACAAAGCGAGCGGAGGAGCAGTGAATCGAATCAAAACTGGGCAAACGCATGTTGGAAGATCGGTGTGCTAGATATATGAATCAACGACAGCCGTCTACAGGGGGACCCCCCCTTGGAGTCAGCACCGACTCAGCCTTATCCAGAGAGGAAGAAACATGAGCGAGCTTTCTCCTACTGAAGCATGGCGGAGGCGCTGCCAAGGGCCAGGGAGCCCACCTCAGTGACGGTGCGGTGGCGCACCCGCTAGAGCCGCTAGAGTGCCAGCGGAGAGAGCGCCAAAAACAACCACGCTAGGGCACTGTCCAGCTCCAGCGAATAGACGGCCTTCCGCTGCAAGCACAGACCAAACTCCCCCGAAAATCAAGGGATGGATGCGGCCCAAGGTGCGTCGAACCGCGAGGTACATGCTCGCAGCGGCCGTCGGGTATGCCATGTGCAGGTACCTGCTGTCCATCGACCCATACAGTACTCCGTACTCCGTACATGCAGTGGGAATTACAGGTGCTTTAGCATCAATCAAGCTGCAACGGCAAGGCGGTTTCGTTTCTCAGCCCGAGACCCTTTTTCCCTTGCTGCAGGTGAGATTTGGGCATGTGAGATTTTGCTCAATGAGGAGCGGCGGAATCCAAAGCTTATTGTTCCCATTGCTAAGTACATGTAATCCCCTTCTATTCTTAGCCGTCGCCATCTCCGGCTTCACATGTTTGGGGCACGGGCTGCGCGTGTCACACAATCACACAAGGCGTCACGAACCCAATGCCCTCATGCTGGGGGAGCAGCTGTGCTCGGGAATGGCTGCATGTCTGGATGGATGCTAGAAATCCCTGAAGATACCGCTCACAAACTCTTCCCCCGTGCCGCTGCGTGCAACACACCCGTCGAGCCCGTCTTATCGACAGTGTAGATTCGCGTACGTAAATGCCTTCGGTCCAGAAATGAAGAGCATCTGCAGTCTGCAGGTACATCCGTCGGTGAACCACCGCCAGCATGGCAAACCCTTGCCTGCCATGCCACCAATTGTGACCTGTCCTCCGTCTGTATAAAGGCCGTAGCAGGCGGTGAATGCAATATTTGTCGTGCTCCAAGGATCACCTTCGCTTACACGCACCCCGTACATCTTCCAGATCGCGGTTCATTCAGTTAGTCTTCAACGTGCATCTCGCCATCTTCCTTGCCGTTACCAGCTCAAGCCCAATGCGGTCCAGCGTGTCTTGCGGCCCCCTTTTCGGCTTCTAGACGGTTCAAACGTCATGATCCCTGAGCAGGCCCAACAGTGAATACGAGCCCCCTCTAGCTTTGGTACTTCGGCTCGTACGAGCAGCGCCGTTACGGCCGTCCGTGGTTTGGAAACAGTGCGTGCTAAAGCGTGATTTACCGCTCTGCCGGCTCGTGGCCCATGGCCTAAACCACCGTCTGCACGCGACTTTCTTCCCACGGTGGAGACGCGGCGAACAAACACCATTGACCCCTTTAATTGTGAATTCTCGTCGCATCCCGGAGGGAAAAGGATGCCGGGATCCCGTCAAATCCAACTTGGAGCCATTTGCCTCGTCATTCTTCCTTCTACTTTGTGTTCATATTTTTGGAAATCGGTTTTCTTTTTTAGCTCACTCCGCCCTGGGCCAACTAACCATGAAAGCGAGATTGCTCTGCTAGCCGGTCAATCAGCTTATAAGCTAGATTAATATCTCCCCTCTTGGCAGTTTCAGCGACCCCTTGCAGCAAGATGACGAGAGCTGTGTTTTCCATATGTCAATCGTGTTAGTGGTTCATCCGTAGTAGTAATCAGTGGACAAAGATCTGAACCCTGTGGCCCACAAGCATCGTGCGACGGATACGGAGCATCTGATGATGACAGTCTCACAGAAGATTTTTGCGCTGGCCGTCGTGCAATGGTGCGTGCAGAGGCTCTTGCTGCTTAGCCGAGGCGGTGGCAAACGGGAAATCGAATAATAGAATCTGTACAGAATATTCCCAGTCAATGATACTGTATCCATACAGTCTTGCAAGCGAAGTCCGTCTGGAGAGAACGGTGGAGCCTCAGCTAGCTCAGGATTGCCCTCGATTTGGACCCCGTTGCCGATGCTGCCGCGGATCATTTGAGCGCTGGGGCCACCTAAATTGGGAGCAGATTTCGGGGAAAAAAAGAACAAGCACGGAGTTGAAAGGAAATTGGCTGGAATAGCACGAGGGAGACTGGTTGGTGTCTCTAGCACCTGCAGTGAGGCTGAGTTTGGCTGGCGGGGCTTGTATCTGTAATGCAACGCTACTCGGCATCTGGGTTTGCCCTGGAAATAGGAGACGCCAAGGTCTTCTAGAGGATTGCTCATAAGGGAATACGGACGGACGCAAATATATGGCGAGGAGTCTGAGATAAGGAAAAGATGGAAGTTAGGCGAGATTTTGCGACTCAATCCCAAGGGCATGAAATGGGACTTGAGGTGGAAAGCGCCGACATTGTTCCTGCCGTTGACATAGGAAGTGACTTCTAGAAGAAAGTAGCGATACTTGCAGATACTTGGAAGATAGAAGGCGCTAGATACCTAGGTATTTCCTCTGTATTTTATTACGACACTTGAACTGTTGTTGGATAATAGCCTGGTACCTACCTAGTACCTGTCACTCTCTTAAAACATGGATATCGATTCTAAAGAGTTCAAGGTTGCGAATCAGGTGCCTGCAATTGATGATGTCAGCATCAATCCCGACTCTAGAACACTCTCTACAGATTGAACCCGAATATCTTCCAGCCTGTTCTCACACATGGATTTTGGGCACTGGATATCAAGAGTTGTGGATTTAGAAAACAGAGATCCATCTACTGCAACTCTGTGGAGTGAACAACCAAAAAGAGGCGACCACGGAAAAAAGCCGGCCAGCGGCACTAAACGTCACTCGCCAGGCACGCATGATGTAGCCACAAATATTTGACAAACCACATTCAAGCCTCTTGATTCCCCTCGCTCACTTCTTCCATCCAAACTACCAGAGTGCTGCATGCCAGTAAATCACGGATCACAAACAAGGCGAGAAACGATCAGACACTTGCTGTTCACAAACGGGCCAGTGCCAGTTACACAAACACCGTCACTAACGGTCCTCACTTAGAGCACGGGCATCCAATAAGACAGTCCTCTAATGTGATTATTTTCATGAGCACCAAACCAGTCCACCATTAGCTTCGGACCCTGCCGCTGGACAACAAAAGACAATGTGGATGCTGAATCTTTTGCAGGAAACACAGTGGAGAAGCCAACTACCTAGTAGCTACTCGTACTCCTCTTTTGTTTCATTGACCACGACCATGGGCGTGCTGACAGCCATGTCACTTCTCTCTCCCGCGTGACGATGCCAGTGACCACCTCTTGTGAGCAGCAGACGGCAGACACCAAGCTGCCAACACACATGCACATTTCACTGGCCAGAACAAGAAGAAGAAGAAGAAGAAATGCAAACATCTCCTCATTCCCTCATTCCCTCATTCCAAAACATCGACGTGGCTGCCCGTGGCTCGCGGCCTTAATTTCGGTGAGCCACTTAGCGTAGGCATATTCGCCTTCAGCTCGTCGCACTAGTTGTCCTCCCGCATCACGAACATCAACGCCACGGGCTTGTCAGATGTATGCTTGTTGGCAGCCCGCCTCACTTTTTTTTTCCTCCTCCTCAAAGTCAGCCGCAAAAACGCCATGGGCCGTTATGGACCCTGGGCTAAGCACGGATCGAGCAGCAGCCATGACTTTTTGACGTATGCAGCTTTCTGCGGAGTACAAGACACACATCACATCTCAGCTTGACGAGCTGGCAATTTTGCTACGAGTCGTGCGAGCTAGTTGAGATGAGTGAGGCGTTGATTTCAGTTTTGCGTCAAATATTTGCGTCTGGGTTTTTTCATGCTTGGTCGGGCGCATCTAGACGCCTTGTAAGGCATGGCCTCAACCGAGCCCTTATTTAGACAGGTAGGGCTATGCATTTTGTGGCATATATCCACTCGACAATAGCATGAAACAGATCATATTTTGTAGCAAGCGTAATGTTGTAGGATTGGGCATGATTCTCATATCCACTATTCCAGAATAACTGCTCACATCAGCTTGCCCTCGGCTTATAGCCTGCCCTAATTTTCAGCGAATACTTGAAATTGTAGACAAGAATATTTCACAGAGGCTGAAACACAGATAGATGTGGCGAGAAAGGCAATATCATTATCCATCTATATATATCAGCGCTTCCATAATATATCGAGGATGTGAGAGTGTGCTTAGTCTAGTAGTCAATGTAAGCTCGTCATCATCCTCCCCAGCAATGCGCCACCGCACCGTCATCCAAGCGAGTCATCTTTAAGATCTCATTGGGTAATCCGACTTCAACTTGACTCATATGTGGCTGTGGAATCCTCAGTCAAGTATTCCGGGTTCTGGATGCTATATGTAGCTACCTAGTCCATTGTTTTTTGATGTGGCTGTGATCTTGGGCAGAGGTAGGTAGGTAGTCTTATCCTCGACTTAGATACATTGATTGTAAGCCAGTCTCCTCGCTGGGGTGTCCATTGACGGCTTTCATTCCAAGATTATATTACAACTAAACAACGTATGGAGGTATATGTTTTTACTGCTACATGCTTGAGTCTAGAAACTGCGACGGTTGGTTTAGTTGAAAGATCTATCCCGCCCTTGGGTTAATAACTACCAGTAGACTTTAGAGGTTCAAGCCATGCCAACGGTAGAAGCCCGTAAAGTATGACGAATGAAAGTGAATAGAGTATATAACTGAAGACTATTGTAATACAAAAGCGTAACAAAACGCAGAGAAAGTGCCTTTCATTTACTGCTACCTTACTTAAGTAAGCACGCAGCTTGAGTATTTGCTATTATCGCTACCTATGCTTACTTTTGCTATCACTACTTTCCTCTACTATTGCTGCTTTCTTTACACATCGCTACTTTCTTCTAATATCTGCTAGTATTATTTCCTCTAGTATCTACAATTATCACTACCTACCTAATAGGTAATATATTTAGAGACACAGGATGCTGAATGGCCAACTTGGGGTGCTGATCACCCACGGTCCCCCCCCTGCGTCTAGGCACATCGCTAGAGAGATAGATACTACATCATCACATTTTCACGTATTTCTCACGTTCCTTGTTGCTCGAGTGGCGTCCCGTGTGCTCTGTGAGACCTCATATGATAGCGATTGGCTCCCGGCTTCGCCAATTTCACATATACGAGATCTTCGGGGTCAATCTTCGGGGGATTCAGATGTATGTAGCCACTCCTTAAACTTACCTCTATATGGTCCCAGCATACCTGTATATAAACACCACTCGTACCCAAGAGGATACATCAGTTGGACTATGTGCTTCGACATTTGATCATAAGTCATCAGCAAACTGCATCAAGATGCTATAGTGCTATCAAGCAGACGTCAAGTTCAACTCGTCCTGCTTCTATATATCCCCCACCCAAAGCTTTATATTGCATTTCTCCATGAAATGGCTATGCTTTCACACCCAAAGTACCCATCCACTCATATTATATCCATAAAAAGAAAACACCATATCCAATCCCATCCCAAACAAACCAAAAAAAAAAAATATCTCTTCCGCAGAACAAACAAACAAACAAAACAGCATCACAAAAAGCAAAATCCTCGTTCATTCAACCCACCTCCTCCACCCAGGCAAAGTCTTATCCATAATCTGCGGCCCCTTAAACCACGACACAACCGTCACCACCGTCAACGGCACCGCCACCGCCCAGTATATCCAGAAATGGCTCGAGAGCTTCCATATCCCCGTCGGCGCATCGAAATTGAAAAACGACGTGCTGAAAATCGCCGCCACAAACGCCGCCGGCAGGAACAGCAGCCCAATCAGCGAAATCGCGCGCATCGCCGACGAGTCGACGCGCATCGCGTCGTTGTACGTCAGCGCCAGCTCGTTCTGGATGCGCGCCTTGTTGGACTCTGCGCGGTGCCGCAGGTTCGTCAGCATGTTGTGGAAGGAATCCAGCCGGTTCTGGATGTTGAGGAAGACGAGGTTCGGCGCGTCCTTGGACGTCGAGTCGTTGAGCTTGTCCGTCGAGAGGAAGTGGTTGTGCTGCTTCTGGATGCTCGCGAGGATGGCCTCGCTCACGTACACCATCTCGTTGACGTGCGTCATGTGCCGCGGGATCTCGTGCAGGTACGCGTGGTTGAAGCGGTAAAACGCCCGCCGCTTCTCGAAATCCCGGAGCAGGTTGCGAGTCTCCCATATCGTCACGTCGTGGAGCTGGATGATCTGCTCCACCATGCTGGGATACATCCAGAACGGATCGCCCAGCTCGCGAGGGTTGATGTCGCGCAACAGATAATCCCTAGTCAGCTGCGCGAACTGGGGGTGGTCGAAGAGCACGATATCGGTGCGGTTATCCGCAGCATACCATCTCGTCAAGACGTTGAGCTTGACCCAGTGATACTGGATCTTCTCCATATCGTCGTCGAGATCGAGAACTTTGCTGACACGCTTGACCATGAACCTCAACCACGACACTACAAGTTTTGCATTAACCATCCGTCCAAGTAAAACCGAAAGAAGCGAATGAAATACTTACTGCTGCCCGTCCGCGTCCCATCCGCATCAAGAACATCCTGATAGCCAAAGTATCCATTTGCCCGCTTGCCCGTCGTCGTCCACCATATCCGCGGCACCAAGAACTTTTGATCAAACGCACTTCTACAGGTGCGACATTTGCGTATCCGATCTCCCTCAGCATATCTGCCCAATGCTGGTTAGACACACTCAGAATTATAAAAAAAAAAAAAAAAATGGAAAAATGGAAAAATAAAAGAGAAAAAAGTAAAGACACTGAGAAAGCAATACGAACATTATAGCAACCTCAGCACGAGCAAAGTCCGTGTCATCGCCCTTCAGCAAGTCCTGCGCAGTCAACTCCTCCGACCTAATCACCTTTTTACCTAAACCCATCAACCATCATGTCAGCATTTCATCCCAACTCATCCCAATTCCTCTCACTTCATCCAAAAAAAAAAAGAAAACGTTGGTCAATCAACCCCAAAGTCGACAAAAAAGGGTAATCCAACAAGTGGCGGTGTCTAGGCAGTAGTAAGGAGAAAGGTGAGGCAAACCTGCGTAATCTCGCCATGAGACCGTCTCCAACTTTGGACAGTAGCAAGCAAGCATCTCTTGACAGCAAAACCCCAGATTACAAAATCTCTCATAAAAATTAAAGATTTGCCGCTCAATTCCTTTCACTCTCGCCGGCAAAATGGAAAAAATGATCTACTCAAGGCTTCCAACAAGGAAAAAGAGACGTTTAAAAAAAAGAGGGCGCAGTCCTTCAATATCAGGGGAGAAAAAAATCATAGAATGCGACACAAGAAATCAGGCGGCAGAGCACTGCCCAGTCGTCGTGAGATGGGTATATACCAAGCACGTCTCAAAAGTGACCTGTCGTGGCAATGGCCCTATCACAGCTGGCCAAGCCCCGACATGCCTCAGGTGGAATCGCTATATGGTGATCGGGAATCGGCAGATGGAGAAGCTGTCCTGCATCGTGTGTTCTCTTTGGATTGGCTCCTGTCCTTATGGGGACGGTTGAGCTCTGCATCTGTATCACGCCCCCCTGCTTGCTCCGCCTCTTGTTCCGCCTCTTGTGTGAGGCTCCGGTCGGCGCTACGACTTTGTACCGGGCAGGATTCCGTTCATCTCTATATTAAAGCCCGCATTATTGGCCGCCTAACTTCACATTCAACCTCATAAGTTGCCTCGGGCGGGCAAAGTAGAAAAACCCCCTGCTGTTCCATGCCCCTCAGGCCAGAGACCAGGCCGAGAGGCTGTGCTTCAGGGTAATACTTATGCTGTACTCTGTCAAGCATCACGAACCCGGATGGAAACTCAACAAAACATGACAAAAAAGGAAAAAGAAAGCCCGTTTCTTCGTATATTTTATCGTTGTCGTCGCTGCACACACAATCACAAGTCTTTACAACATATTTAACCCTTCCTAATAGCCCCCCTCCCCTCCAAGCCAGTCTTTCCCTCCCCAACGCCGGAAACTGCAAAAAGCATCTGTCACGGAACAAGGCGCGCTGGCCCTTGTGAGTCGCGTAACCGGTTGTCTACTGACGCGCGCGTTCCTGTATCCGTCTTGTGTGCAGTGGTTCAAAATCTTTTTATGCCACCCACCCTGTAATTCGAAGTCCGCTCTTCTTCCCTTCTCCCAATCTATTGTGTGGCGAACTGCTCCTCCATGTTTGGCGCGCCCTCAACGTTGTGGTAGTCAAGAATCTCCGAGTACCTGTAATTTCGAGTTAGTTGGGTAGGTCATGAGAATAAATATGGGCAAACGTACATCATAATCTTCCATGTGTCGACGGGAAGGTCGGCATCGTTAAAACTCCAGTCAAACTTCTCATCGGCAACGGGCTCATCCGTAGGGTCGTGATACGGCTGGAGGTACTCGTGGGCCAAAGCCTGGGTAGCCGTTACTCGCTTCTTGGGGTCGAAAACAAGCATTCGCTCCAAAAGATCAATGGCTGTGCATTCTAATCAGACAAGGCCCCTTCAAGCACAATAGAAATTTGAGCATCATGTCCTCTTACCTGAATCGTCTGCATTCTTAAACTTGTTTCGAAGTGGCTGTCGTTCACGCTTGGGTAGCGACTTGACGAAACGCAACGTCTAATCCCGTGTTAGCTGGCTGTCCATATCAAACCGGACATCTCGACGAGACATGAGACTCACATTCTCGCTAGCAATAGTGTTGATGACGTCGTCCGGAGGAGTACCAAGCAGCTCAGTGATGATGGAAAACTGGTTCACGTGGTCCTTGCCCGGGAACAGGGGCTTGCCCTCAAGCATCTCAGCAAAGATGCATCCGGCGCTCCAGATATCGACCTCGACGTCGTACTTTTGCCATGTGAGCATGATTTCCGGGGCTCGGTAGTATCGTGTTGACACATAGCCCGTCATCTGCGGGTCCTGGATTCGTGCCAGACCAAAGTCGCAAATCTTGAGATCGCAGTTTTCGTTGACGAGAATGTTGCTGGGCTTGAGATCGCGATGGACGACGCCGGCCGAGTGGACATATTTCAGGCCTCGCTATTAAAACGCATCTGTTAGCTGCCGTTGCAATGCCAAGCTGGCTGTGCATGCCGGTATGCTCATTGCCAACCGATACCAGCATTAGTGCAAGGGGATTCGATGTGTCATCGCATACCATGATCTGGTAGAGGAAGTATTGAATGAATTGTTTCTCGAGCGGTCGGGAGGTTAATAACCGGTGGAGATCGGTGCCAAGAAGCTCTGTGACGAAGTAGCTACAGAAAGCAATGTTAGAAGGAAGCAAAGAAAAACAAGGCGAAACAACCAAAAACAATAAGACGTACATGTCCTCGAGGGGAGAGATGAAGATGTCGCTGAGAGAAATGACCTGCGAATCGCTCAACGTTAGCATGGACCTGCGGGCGTCATCATCATCACCGTGACTCGGGTGATGCAATGCAACGCAGCGACGGCCAGGAAAGCGCATACATTTTCGTGTCGGAGATGCTTGAGCAGCTTCAGCTCGCGATACGTCCGCTTAGCCAGCACAGGCGTGCTAAAGGGCTTCATGATCTTCTTGACGGCGACATTTTGGTTGGTGAGCTGGTCTCGCGCAGAGCTATTTGGCGGGGGAGGGGAAAGTCGCAATTAGCAAGGATGCCGCAAAAGCAATCAAAAATGGAGGGGGGGGGGAGAGAGAGGGAGCAAAAACAAACTCACCAGACGAGACCAAACGCTCCCATACCCACGGGCTGGAGGTCCGAGTACCTGAAGGAATTGAATCAGCCTTTTCATTTCGATCCTCGTGCCGCCTTTGCTCCTACCTTGAGGTGATCTCGAACGTGGTGCCAAAGATCTGCGCACGCACAAACTCGGCCATTGTGACGGATCGATTTGACTCGTGATGGCGGGGGAATCTAGGTTTTACCGGCAAGAGAGGAAAACGTAAAAACTCGACGCGGGCGGCGATGAAGATGCGGCGTTAACAAGAGGCTGTTCGAAGGCGGAAGAGAAAAAGAGAGAGAGTTGGATTAGATCTCGTCGCTCCCAGGGAAAAAAAAAGGATGAATGTTGCTGCTGATGCTTTTTTGGTCGGCTCGGTTGGGAAGAAACCAGAGGCGGTATTACGCAGGATTATAGAACCTGGAAGAGTTCCACTCGCTGGCTAGCAGGCGGGGGGGTCTTTGCACAGCGGGCTGAGCTTGTTGGAACTTGTAAATTAGCAGCGCTGCCAATCTCGATGGGAGGATCGCAAAAAGGAGAGTCTGACGGCGCAATTGCTTCTGCGTCTCTTTGTTTCACTGTTCCAATGACTGGATTCTCGACAACTCGTTCTTCTCTCGTTCTTCTCTTGCTTGTCGTCGCAATTCAGCAATCAGCGGTCGATTCTCCCTTGTTTCGCGCTGCGGATCTCGGATAGCCCAGCTGCAAAGGCGGGGTGACGGTCGGTTCTATAATACCTAACCACGGGAAAAAAGAGAGAGGGAGGGAGAGAAGCGCCCAGGGAACTTTGGCAAGCGGAATAGCGCCTAAAGCCAAAACCAGCGATAGCAAGAGTCCAGTAATAATAAACGCCCTGCTTCCCAGGCAAAAAAAAGCACCGAGTTAGTGGACACACACACACACACACACACACACGCTGTAGGTTCGGCACTTGTACTTGTAAGAAAGCGCACTGCGCGGGGTAAAAGCGAGGTAACCAGCTTGTCAATTGTGCCCGGCTTTAGACCAAGAAAATCAATGCCCAGCCCAACGCACGCTGACCTCTCGCTCTTGTTTCTTGGTTTTTTTTTTTGTGCTCTCGTGTTTCCCAACTTACGTGTATTCGTTGAATTTCGCAAAAAGGGTCTGGTGCCCAACGGCCTTTCTAGCGAATGCAGAGGCCACTGAATGTCACTCGTTCGGGTCGGTCGAAATGGTTCGCCTCCAGCGGGGGCGCAGAAAAGGGGACAACAGACAATGAAGCCGTCGCAACACACTGCGATCAACCCAAGATTTTGAATAATGAAGGAACAGAGCCACAGGCAGCAATGCTATAAGTGAAGGGCAGTAAAGCAACGACAAGTGTTTTCTTTGCAAGAAAGAGCAGAAGAAGGGGCGTGGGACCGTAGAAAGAAAGCTAAGGGGGGGCCGGGCTCGTCGCTACTTATACGCGCCGTCTCGTCTCAGGCGATCGATCGAGATTCTGCCCAAGAATCGAGGAATTTCAATGCCAATGCCGCGTCCTTCGTTGGGTCTCGAAAATCCGAGTTGTTGCTTGTTTTTAATGTCTTCTGTTATCGTTATTGGGCGCCCAGCAAAGGGAGAAAAAGTTGCACAGCACACCACAGAACTCGGGCAAAACACCAGTCTTATACGCAGTTTGTCTTCGCAGGGCAGGGTTAGGCAATCCCATCATCGCCATGCCGAGACAGGACAAAGGCTTACCTATAAACAAAAACCGAAATTCCCTCTTGCTCCTCCAGGGACTTTGCAACATCGTCGTCACGCCCCGCAGCGACGCTTCAGGGACGCTCCCTCGTTCGCAAACCAAGCTCCGGTGACGACATCGCGCGCTTGCTCCCCCATGTTTTTTTTTTTTGCTTTGGTTCAACCCCTCCAAATGCCTAAACGATAAACCCTGGTCCGGGCTCCAAGGCAATCCTCGGGCTTGTACGATTAGCTGAAGCCATGTCTCTGCGGGAATGTCATTCTCATCCATGCCACCGGCTAGCTCTGCCCACCGTTGCAAGCCATCTACACTATCTGCCCTTCGTCGAAGAATCTCTGATCATCTCGCCACCGTCCGCCAAAGCCCTTCCCTCGAATCTCCATGCTCGAAAGCCAGAATCCCATCTCAATCCAGATCGACATTTCCCAAATCTTCATCCTCTCCTCATCCAGAACCGCGCCCCCCCAAAAAGCCCCCATCTCCATCCTACCTAACATGGACCCCATATCATATCAAAACCAGCTTTGCCCTCGCCCCCAAAAACGAGCCCAACCCTACCTAAGCTACTCTCCCATCCCATTCGCCCATCGCTCTTCACCCCCTTCTCGCCAGCTAAAAACCCCTTGTTCCCACATGCATTAATTCTCTGCAGAGAGACACCACTCGCATCCTCCCCCAAAAGCCCCCAAAGCAAAGCGAGCACACAGGCTGGCATCTTCCGGTCTAAACCACTTCGCATCGGTGATGCCCCAATGACGTCACAATCAATCAATCTCAACCCACTCTTCTCATGACCCACGCCTGCTGTATAGAGTACTTTAAATTTCCACTCTTCACGTGTGCACGATAAAGTATGCGCTACATACTCGCATCATTCTCCCCATCTCACTACCTGAGTATTGCGATTCCGCCTACTGATTCAGGAACGGGCCCTCTTCCCGTCATCGAAATAACCGCTGCGAATCGGCTCAAGGGCCCTGGAGATTTTGCTCCGGTCTTCCCACATCAATTTCACCTTGTCCAACGGCACCCACTCATCGTGACACCGCTCATGATTACATAGTACACCAAATATCAGTTTAGTTGCGCTGCATTTCAGTGCTCTAGCTCGGAGCGTACAAGAAAACATCCATACCTTCAAGTCTGGGATTATCCCAGCTCTAGTGCCTGCATGGGTTTCTAAGTGCGGTCCTTTCTATGACTTACAGCTCCCATGTCACATGCATACCTAGTACATCAACAATTGCGCAACAGTCAAAGGGAAACGTTCAAGTTATTGCTTAACTCAAATTCAGACGTTCAATTCATCATATAGGAAGAGAGCATCTTATCTTCACTCCTCCCAATTGTATAATTCTGCCTGCTCGAATCTATCGAGGTATTCCCATGCCGCCTCCTACAAGACCTCACTCAAGGGAGAGTCTACTCGGAGACGTCCAGCGGCTCAATGTTCCAAATCTCTTCGGCGTACTCGTTGATGCAACGGTCGCTGGTGAAGAAGCCCATCCGGGCTACGGATGTGATGCACTTGGTCACCCACTCATCCTGGTTGCGATAGGCTTCGTCGACGAGGGCATGCGTCTCAATGTAGCTGTGGAAGTCGTCTGACACCAGGTAGTAGTCACCATGGTCCCTGACGGCAGCAATCAAGGCGCTGAAGTCGTTGGGCAGGCCAAACGTGCCCTTTTCAATCTCGACAAAGACCTTCTCCAGGTCGGGGTCAATAGTGTGGGAACCAAAGTTGTGAGCATGGCGCAAGTCCTCCACGTCCTCGGCGAGGTTTCCAAACAAGAAGATGTTGCTTTCGCCAATCTCGCGAGTGATTTCAATCTGCAACAAGAGTCAACACGCCATAAATAAAGGTTACAAGTTCCAATGGCACTTACATTGGCACCGTCGCAGGTTCCGATGATGAGACCTCCGTTGAGGACAAACTTCATGTTACTGGTACCAGAGGCTCTATTACACTTGTTAGCTCCGCTCCAGCTTATTCAAGGTTTGACATGTCAACTTACTCTGTTCCTGCGGTGGAAATGTGCTCGCTAATGTCAGACGCGGGGATAATCATCTCGGCCTTGCTGACGTTGTAGTCTTCCAGGAAAATGACCTTGAGGAGATCACCAATGTCGCTGTCCTTGTTGACAACTTCGCCAACGGCATTGACCAAGTGGATGATTTGCTTGGCCATCCAGTAGCCAGGAGCAGCCTTGCCGCCAAAGATGGTGACACGAGGCAGCTGCTTCTTCCTCTCTTCGGGGCTCATGGCCTTGAGAGTCAGGTACCGGTGGATGACTCCAAAGATGTTGAGCTGCTGGCGCTTGTATTCGTGAATTCGCTTGACCTGCACGTCGAACAGGGCCGCTGGGTTGACCGACACGCCAAGAGTGCTCTGAATGTACTTGGCCAAGCGCACCTTGTTGGCGTACTTGATCTCTGCCCACTCCTTGCGGAAGGCCTTGTCCGTGGCATGAGCTTCAAGCTTGTTGAGAACTGTCAGATCCTTGAGGAAGTTGTCACCACCACACTTGGAAGCAATCAACTCAGACAAGCGGGGATTGGCCTGGTGCAGCCAACGTCTGGGGGTGATGCCGTTGGTCACGTTGGTGAACTTGTCCGGGCCGTAAATCTCAACAAAGTCCTTGAAAATGGTCGTCTTGATCAGATCCGAGTGCAGCTCAGCCACACCGTTGATCTTGTGGGAACCTACAATGGCCAGGAAGGCCATTCGTACCATCTTGGGCTGACTCTCCTCAATAATGGAGACTCTGCGGAGCAAGTCTCTGTCATTGGGGAATGCCTTCTCGACCTTTTGCAGGAAGAACAGATTGATATCATAGATAATCTGAAGATGTCTGGGCAGCAGGTGCTGGACCAATCCAACGGGCCACTTCTCCAGAGCCTCAGGGAGCACAGTGTGGTTGGTGTAGCCAAACTAGAAACAGCCGGACACGTTAGCCAATTCATCTTCTTTCTCTGCCTCGAGGGCGGGTTGGAGTCTGGAGAACCTACCGTGGCAGTGACAATCTGCCATGCCTCGTCCCATTCCAGACCCTCAATATCAATTAGGATGCGCTGCAGCTCGACAACGGCAAGAGTGGGGTGGGTATCGTTGAGCTGGATGGCGACCTGGTCGGGGAACTCCTTCCAGGGGCGCTTGCTCTTCTTGAAACGGCGCACAATATCATAGAGAGATGCTGCCACCCAGAAGTACTGCTGCTTCAATCGCAGCTCCTTGCCCTGTTCCAGGTTGTCGTTGGGGTACAGCACGGCACTGATGGTCTCGGCCCGCTGCTGATCGGCGACGGCACCCTCGTAATCGCCATTGTTGAACTTGGGGAAATCGAACTCGCCTCCGGACGCCTTGCTAGACCAGAGTCTCAGGTTGTTTGTGGTAGGTGTGGCGTAGCCAGGGATAGGGACATCATAGGCAACAGCCTCGACAATGTCGCCGCCCTCCCAGATAAAGGCGGTCTTGCCGTCGTCGTTGGTCTGCTTGCGGACCTTGCCATAGAATTGGATCTAACCATCATAGAGTAAGCTTCGCTCCAGAAGGTGAGTGTCAGGGGTTAGGAGGGTCTCACGTTGACAGTAATGTCATGGCGGGGGAACTCCCAGGGGTTAAAGTCCAACCA